AATGAACATTGTCTAAAAATATTTAAAAGGTGGGAGATAAACTGTGACGTATCTATGTCCTCTGCTTTCCCCAGGCTCAATACATATTAGGTTGTTCGAAAAGTCCTGCGACACTTTGGACCAAATTTTTCGCACTAAATTTTCTGTCACCCAAAGACATCTCCAATCCACAAGGTAACCATAGTTGATGACTAGGACTAGTCCCCTTCTTTTGCACAGCTTCTCATTTCCATTCTCATAGAACTACGGCAACTGTGATAAAAAGAAGAGGTGGACCTCATTCTCGAGTTGAGGTCGATTTTCGGGCTTTTTGCTCTTCAAAGGATAACACGATCATAACTTAGAGCAAACACACATAACTTTTGCTGAATACCTGGGTACGGTCGCATTCTCTGATCACACATATATACATATAGATTTTTGACGTGGCCTGATTCCCACATGCGGTCATTCGGTATGACTTGTCAGACGGGTCCAACTCATGAGGCATCCTTCACATAGAATTTTTCCGATAACGAGATTGCGGAGAAGCACGGAAGTTGTCAGGCAGGTGCCTAGAGAGGGACAATATAATAGAACTTACTTGGTGGTTACCTTCGGCTGCGGCTCAAGAAGCTTGAGTAAAGGGTCGTCATTCTGTGCTGGTGGGCGACCTACACATTGCCTAACTACGAGTTAAATAAGTCCAGCCTGGAAGCGCTGATGCAAAGCTACCCTCTGCCATGGCAAGCGATATCCTTCCTCAAGACAACGTAAGTGTTAGCTTCCTCGACTACGGCGGAGTTGCCCTACAGGAACTCATAATATGGGATAGGTCGAAAAGTACCTCGATCTCTGAGGGACTTTTAAGCTTTGAAAACTTCCACAAAGTCATGATATACCCATGTGCAGAAACCCCAGAGGACAGTCTCCACTAATCAGGGATAAAAACATCCAAAATGATTTTTGGTCTTTTTCTAGAACAATTCAATCAAAGTGTCGCAGGACTTTTCGAACAACCTAATAGTTAAAGAGGAGAACACGCGAAGGCCAAACTGTGCGAGATTCTGCACGAAGAAGGTCCGTATCTTTAGTTCCGAGTCGCGACAACTGTCTGTGCTCTTTCACGACAAGGGTACAGCATCGTTGTGTGAAATACCTAGGGGGGGTCTTACATTTCCGCTGGGGAGGGGGTCGTATGTGGTCGTCGGGAGAAAGGGGGATCATATGAGCGTTTGAGAGAAATTAACCGCGCTGGAATGAAATTAGGAACCTCGCTCGACGAAAAATTTTTAGGTGAAAACTGAACTGGAACTGGAAAATGTGGAAAACTGGTAGGTCACTGTTGGGGAAGGGGGGTCGTACCGAGACCCTCACTTACGTGTGGGTGGGTCGTACTGACACCCACTCCGGAGGTGGGTGGGGTCGTACCTACACTACCATTTCACACATCACGATGCTCTACCCTGTTCACGACTCTTTAGTCATCGAAGTGGCGCGTGGTCTTCCCAAACTGCAGTAGCGTCTAACAGCGATTCAATCATATGCCTGTTAATTTCATCTTAGTAGGTATTCTGTCGTATCGAACCACAACACAGGACAGTTGGACAGTTTGTTCGTGAGGAAATCGATAACAAACATCGTGAGTTTGGCAGTTCACCTTTTTGAAGAAATACAGTGAATAATAGTGTTTCTTTTATATTTCACCTAGTTAATTGAAATCATTCACACTTTTTGCTGCTAAACTTGTCTGCCGAGGAGATCGTACAGGTTGAGAGAGGGCCTCCCATAGAAACGAAGAGTGCAAAGGGATTTCTTTCTTTCACCACAAGAATGTCCGCGAATATGCGCATATGCGACCAGTGCCCGAGGGATTGCGCTTTTAGATAGTGGAACCTTTGTTACGGCTTCCTCTCGCGCAGATTTGCAGCTCGCCGCGCGTAAAAATCGAGCGACAACTGGGCGGCACTCGCTCCGAATGGGTGAGGATGTTATGCTCTTTCTTATCGATCACAGGGGCTTCTTATAGGGACCTGTAACTTCTTCAAAGCTATACAATAACAGGATTTTTGTTTCTACGTCTGTCCAGAGTCTTCAACAGGAACTAGCATGAGAAACTGGCGCAAGTGCAGGATGCTTCCCCTTTCTGAGCCGAACAGCGCCTTCGCCGACATACGCGAGAGCGTGGCCTACCTGCCCTCCCTTATGTTTTCTGCCTTGACGAGTAGCTGTCAACACAGTTCTGAGAGATGCTAAACGCTTTCACAAACCTTCAAATGGGGGAAGCATGCCTAAGGGAGATGCGCCATTCATCACAACCGGACCCTCAAGGCGTGCGAAAGCGTGTAGATAGG